TTTTGACCCACCTCCTAGAGAAATGGAAATAAAAACAAAAATAAACAAATGGGACCTAATGAAACTTCAAAGCTTTTGCACAGCAAAGGAAACCATAAACAAGACCAAAAGACAACCCTCAGAATGGGAGAAAATATTTGCAAATGAAGCAACTGATTAATCTCCAAAATTACAAGCATCTCATGCAGCTCAATAACAAAAAAACAAACAACCCAATCCAAAAATGGGCAGAAGACCTAAATAGACATTTCTCCAAAGAAGATATACAGACTGGCAACAAACACATGAAAGAATGCTCAACATCATTAATCATTAGAGAAATGCAAATCAAAACTACAATGAGATATCATCTCACACCGGTCAGAATGCCCATCATCAAAAAATCTAGAAACAATAAATGCTGGAGAGGGTGTGGGAAAAAGGGAACCCTCTTGCACTGCTGGTGGGAATGTAAATTGATACAGCCACTGCAAATAGAACTACCATATGACCCAGCAATCCCACTACTGGGCATATACCCTGAGAAAACCATAATTCAAAAAGAGTCATGTACCACAATGTTCATTGCAGCTCTATTTACAATAGCCCGGAGATGGAAACAACCTAAGTGTCCATTACTGGATGAATGGATAAAGATGTGGCACATATATACAATGGAATATTACTCAGCCATAAAAAGAAACGCAATTGAGCTATTTGTAATGAGGTGGATAGACCTAGAGTCTGTCATACAGAGTGAAGTAAGTCTGAAAGAGAAAGACAAATATCGTATGCTAACACGTATATATGGAATTTAAGAAAAAAAAATGTCATGAAGAACCTAGGGGTAAGACAGGAATAAAGACACAGACCTACTAGAGAACGGACTTGAGGATATGGGGAGGGGGAAGGGTAAGCTGTGACAAAGCAAGAGAGAGGCATGGACATATATACACTACCAAACGTAAGGTAGATAGCTAGTGGGAAGCAGCCGCATAGCACAGGGAGATCAGCTCGGTGCTTTGTGACCGCCTGGAGTGGTGGGATAGGGAGGGTGGGAGGGAGGGAGACACAAGAGGGAAGAGATACGGGAACATATGTATATGTATAACTGATTCACTTTGTTATAAAGCAGAAACTAACACACCATTGTAAAGCAATTATAGTCCAATAAAGATGTAAAAAAAAAAAGAAAATGATTTTATGAAAGAATAGTATCAAGTGATGCAAAGTATTAGAATCAACAAATTACTCCATGAATTTCTGTAGCTCCGCTTTACAGATGTGAAACATATGATCGACCTTGGCTCACACAGTTTTGGAAGGTGACTTGCTTACAATCAGACATTTGAGGAGGGGAAAATCTGATTTAATAGTTAATAGTACCTTCTTGTTAATAGAGATACCTAAAGGTGAAGCAAGTTCAAGATGTGTTGTTCTCCCTTAGCACTTCTTTTCTAAGTCTACTGTAATCTCCCCAAATTCTGCCTCTTTCTGCATGGCTGCCTTTTGTAGATTAAAAATTTCTTTTTCCAATCTGTTTTTTTGTTTCCACAGTCCTTTGCTCAGGATCTTACATTCAGTAAAGGCTCAAATATTTGTTAATCTAAAATGAAAGAGCCCGGAGGTCTGGTGGTCCACACCTGCATCTCTCCCTTCAAATGGATGATGTCTCTCTGGGGGTAAGTAATGAAGCCCCCTGCACTGCTCTTTACCTGTTTTCTCTTACAACTCTTAACTTTTACAACCTTTAAATTATCGGTTTAGGAATGAAGTGAACTCTGCTCTGACTATAGGTCCTTAGCATAAAGACAACATCCTCCGGTCATGTGGGGAAGACCTTTGTCCAATGTTCCCATTTCTTCTTTAATTCTATAAGAAAGTCTAAAGCCTCCACTATAGGAAAAACAACAATACCCAATTCCTGTATCAATGTTTTCTAAGCAGAAACTATAGTACTTGGGAGATAGTTTCATTGAAATAAAATACCTCTTCAAGACTGATTTTTAAGAACTTTTCTTTTTTAAAGTAATGAGAACATGAATTCAATTATAAGACATTCAGGTGTCAAATTTTCTCTCAAGTAAGGCCTAGGCTATTGATTAGATGAAACAAACTACAACCCTTTTCATAATTCTGTTAATAATGCATTGTTCGAAAGGGGGGCTTTTAAAAAATCTCAAGTGAGTAAAGACTTTGATCATAACACTGTTATTCTACAGGTATAACTCTAAAAATAACAAAACACACTATAAATATACATATAAACACTTGCTTCTTAAGGCACAGAAGTATTAGGAAGATAAAAACCTCAGCCAAAATGTTATTTTCTTTCAGTAAACATCTAACAGTTAACTAGATTTTCTTCTCATTGTTAAACACGCATCAAATTTATTTCAGTTTATCTATCATTATTACCTACATTATCTATTTATTATTATCTACATAATCATTCCATGTTTTATTTATTTTTTTAATTCTAAACTCATTAACATTCACCCTGGCTACCTTTGGGAAATTTCTGAAATTGATTTCTAAATTATCTCCCACAAGATATTATTATGTATTTATTGTAGAGAAAAAAAATCCAGGTACTTGAGACAAGTGATTTAGATGTGGGGTGGAGAGAGCAGGGAAGGGCACCTTGAGAAAGAGCAAAGTTTGAAATAACTAAATAATTTCCTTAATTTGTCTAATTCTACCTTGTTTACTTTTCCTAATAGTGAAATTTAATAAGCTTTAGAAATTTTTTTTTTTTCTCCTAGGGACCATTTAGTCAATTTATTTGGCAATAGCCTTCCCAAGCCATATGTGCTAAGTGGACTTAATTCAGTGTATTGAAAATCCATCAAAATATAGTTCACCTCATCCCTTCATGATAAAACAAAAACAAAGAAAAAGACAGTACAGTCCTCACTTTAGTCACTGCTTTTACTTTCTCTACTGCAAGAGCAGACATGGTAGCTCTATAATGGAGGTTTCTCCGTTTTTACTCACTTATCTAATCTCCATAAATAACTCCTATGAACCAAACTCCAGCCTCAACTTGTTGTAATGAGTCCTGTGTGATTAAATACCAACAATTTTCCTAGTCAACATTTGGGTTCTTATTGGAACGTGGTGATTTCTTTTAAAATGTAACCTTAAAAATTTATCTTCCCTTTTTATAATAAACTCATAGCTACTCTATATTTACAAATGACTATAAAAAGTAAACATGGTGACGTCAAGTCAGTGACAGATAGAGCAACAGCCTGTAATGAAATAGCAGAATTTTATGGCTCAATATTTAGGAAATAATATTCCAATATTTTGAGCTGTTGGACTTGGTCCATAGAATTTAAATTAAATCATTTGCTTATTTCCCTTCTTTTTTAAAAAAAAAAAAAAAATCTCTAAAATCAGGTTATATTTTCTCATCAGAGGAGTTGTTTGAAGTAACATTTTCAATCTTGTAAAGCATATCCTTTCCATATTCCTTTCATCCGCTTTACTTTCCATGAACATAAACCAGTCTAAGATTGCATGCATTTCTACCCTCAGAAAGCCTTCACACAAAAGTTTCCTGCTGGTCTGGCATGACACTGGCACTCTGAAGTTTTCCTGTCCCTGCAAGCCCTAGGATATAGTCAGGCTTTCAGCCAAGAATCAGGAGGTTGGAGTGTAGGGCTATTTGCCAGCATCTAAAACACAGAAGCAGTTTACTTTAACACTACACTTTGCAACATCCATGTTTATGAAAGCATTTGTTATCTAAGAGCACAACACTGCTGCAAGAAAAGAACACTCCCCCTGGGAAGCCCTGGGGTTTAACTCCATCTGGTTTCCATTCTGACAAGGGTGAGATTTTCATGAAAGCAACCCAAAGTTCTTTGTAATGAAAGTCGCACGTTCCAGAAAACAGAGCTCTAACTCCCAAGCCAGCCGATTGAATGGGCTTCTCCCTTTAGTCACTGAGTAACTCTGTGCAGGTCACCTGCCCTTCCTGTCTCAGATTCTGTCCACACACAAAGAAAATTGAGGTTACAAAAATGCTTTAGTCTCAAGGATACATATATTTTGGTGGTGGACTTATTGTCTTCTTATACATCATTAAGTATACTTTCTTTTCTTGTGTGGATTGTTGTAGCATGCCTTGTACATATAGTCATTCTAAATCTAGATAGGTGTTTAACTCTTACATCTTTGGACTGGTGTTAGCCTAAGTCATAAAATCTTATAAAAATTATAAAATCTACAAAGTAAATATAAATACATCTTTTTATTTTCGTTACAAAGTTTCTAACAACTATACCAGACTTAGAACAAATCCTCTAAAAAAGCAATAAAAATGATATAAATTTGAAGGTTCTATTTGAATGGTGGGTGATGATAATAATAATAATAATGTGGATATATAGAATTTAGAAAGCACATCTTTCTCTAAGATGCTAACATGCTTCATGAACTGTCTGCAGCATATAAAACAGGCTGCTCAGAGGACGGGTGTGGCTAACAGAGAACTGGAAAGCCTGCTTTAAATTTAATTCACCAAAGTCGAGCTCCTCCTTTGACAATTTAGCTTGTATTTTCAAAATACGATACTCCTTCTAATAAAGGTCACTGCAGTAGGACATATGGCAAGAAGGGAGCTGTTCTCCCAGGAAAGAGAGTCCCTGTATTTTCACCTCCCCTTCATTTCCCTTCTCTTCCCTTGGACTCTAATTTGATGCTCTATTTACGAAGTTCTCAGTGACAGCTATATCTCAAGAAATAAGACTTGGAGTGCCCTTTTTATTTATTTTTTTGCGTTATGTGGGCCTCTCACTGTTGTGGCCTCTCCCATTGCGGAGCACAGGCTCCGGACGCACAGGCTCAGCAGCCATGGCTCACAGCCCTAGCCGCTCCGCAGCATGTGGGATCTTCCCGGACCAGGGCACGAACCCATGTCCCCTGCATCGGCAGGCGGACTCTCAACCACTGTGCCACCAGGGAAGCCCTGGAGTGCCCTTTGATTCTAAAGAAAGAAAAGTGAACCATACCTTGTGTAAACTGAGTCACACTGTGGTTGCCTTGGCCCAGGTTGAGGAGATATCCATGATGAGGGGCCTCCGTCACAATAAACCTAAGAGAAAAACGTAAGCTGTCTCTGTCCTCCACTTTCAATACTTTTCTTGTGATCATGAACCCCAAGTGGCCTGTGGCCAGAGGGCGAAGTGTAGAAGCCCCTTTGTTCACTGCAATTTGGGGGACACTATTGTCAACAGCTAAGATCTGGATCTTCATCACTTGGGGTCTTCTTGTTTCAAATACTGTATCAGGGAAAACATAGAACTCTGTATGGGAACCATCAGTCACCATGAAGGAGAAGCTGTCTTCACTTGACTCGGTGCCATCATGTCTGTAGCTGATTAAGTTTTCATTCAAGTCTTGCTTGGTAAAAATCATGGCGGGTCTAGTATTGTTGAATAGCAGTTGACCATGAACAGGCACCTGGGTGATAGTGAATTTCAAGAGTTTGTCTGGAGTATCTCTATCTTCCACAGTGAGTTCAAAGGGAGTAATCAGCTTGTTTTCTCCTTCGCTGACAACCAGGTTATGGATGGTGACCACTGGCTTTTTGTTGTCCACATCACTGATGGAGATACGGAATGTCCGGAAGACAGGGTTACGTCCGTCAGTGACTTGGAACTCAAAGCTGTCCATCTTCACCTCATCATCAGCTGTGTGGATGTAGTAGATTTTGTTGCCAGCCAGTTGGAGCTGAGTGAAAGATGTGATGGATACTCCAGGTTGGTCTGTGCATTCTAAGTGACCTCTCATGGGAGCCCTGGTGATGGTAAAAACTAAGTTTTCATCAGGACTGTTCAAGTCACTAGTGCTTAGTAGGTCTGTTGTGAGGGTGACCTTACCACCTTCTTTCAAAGACACTCCCTTACTTATCACATCAGGGAAGACAATGTCAAGGCTCCCAATAGACACATAAAAGTAGCGATCTATAAGGGCATTTATTCCATCAGTCACATCAAATTTAATTAGATCCCGAATGCCCTCTTGCCCAAAATGGACGTACTGAATTAAGCTCCTGTCCACTTCATCCTGGGTAAAATTCATGCCCAGTGTGATATTTTCAAAGACACCTAAAGGTTTTTGTCTCTGTAATAAGCCATGTCCTGGCCCATAACGAATAATATAAACCAAGGATTTGTCTTCAGAATCTAAATCAGTTGCCATTAATATTTTGTTGTTGATAATTTTGGTTTCCCCAGTTTCTATTTCCAGTCCATTATTGATGGCCATTCTGGGGGTCTCATCATCAACAGGGATAATCATAATGATGACCATCTTTTCCACAGAGTGCTTACCATCTGTTAGTTTAATCATGAAACTGTCTTCCTGAGTCTCAGAGTCATCGTGCTCATAAATAATGCTGGAACTCTCTCTGATCTGGTCCAAGGTGAAGCTTTCAACCAAAACCGTGCCATTTATCAGCTGGTTCATGATGTGACCGTGGGTAGGAAACTTGGTAACAGTGAAAGTTAAATCATCTGGGGGAACATCCGCATCAGCAGCATTGAGGATGGGCGTATCGACCACCAGACTCATGCCTTCCATCACCATAAATTCTCTCATAAATATTTCTGGCTGTTCATCATTGGTGGGAATGATTATGATGGGGAAAAAATGTCTCTCTGAAAAGTTAATGCCATCAGAACAACGAAATATAAATCTGTCTTCCACCGGTTCTACTCCTTTATGGACACTCTGGACGTAGTTTATATGACCCTGCCTGAGATCTTTCAGAGTGAAAGCACTTATGGCAATTCCTGCTCTTGATTTTTCAGAGCCTGGGGCTGGAGAGATGTTCTCCACGTAACCTGAGGTAGGCTGAATAACTATGGTGCACAGGATGTCATCAGTGAGGGAATCAGTATCTTCAGCACTTATGTGCATTGAGGTTATAACACTTTTATCACCTTCCATCACTATAAACTGTTCACCTACAGAAATTTCTGGGGCCTGGCTGTCAACAGGGAGGATGGTCACCCACACAGTAACTCCTTGGATAGTGTTACCACCTATTCTCCATTCTTGAGACATATCTGACAGACTCAGGTTGAAAGAGTCCTCCTTGGGCAATAGACCTATCTCCCCGCTAGTGTGGGCGTAAACGACTGAGCCCTCCAAGATGTCCCTTTGGGTAAACTGCTCTGCTGGAACTCCATTGACCAGGATTTCTCCACATAAGGGTGGATCTTCCAAGAGGAAAGTCAACATCAAATCATCAGTGTCTTCATCGGTCCCCTTGATAACACTGGCAGTGATTTCAGTAGCCCCATTTTCTAAAACATCTAGATAGGACCCCAGAGTGCCTGCAGGAAGGCTCAGCATGGGCACCTCATCATCCACTGGCCGGACATTCACTCTGAGAGTGATGGGCACCACATGGTGTCTGTCACTGACCTCCAAGGAGCAACTATCAGTCAGAGATTCATCCCCATTATGGGCATAGGAAATCCGACCCTGTTTTATGTCCTCTAAGTGGAAAATCCCATCTACACTCAGTATCTGTCCAGACATCCTCATGTGGCCATGTTTGGGTGCCTGTGTGAGAGTGAAAGTGATGTGGGCCACATCAGTGTCTATATCATTCACACTCAACTCAGTCTCACTCAGGATGTGGTGGCCCTTTTCCTGAATAGTGAAGCCAGTGTTGAGGATCTCAGGTGGCTGGTTGTCCACTGGCTGCAAGTAAAGGGTGAAAGTGCCTGGAGCCACATTCCCAGCTCGGTCCTCCACCCGGAATTGGAACTGGGCCACTCGGGCAGCCACTCCCAGTTCTTGATCTGGAGGTCTGTAAGCAATTTTATGGTGGTTGACCTGGGCTTGTGTAAAATGGGCCACCACCACTGAAGGGTTGTCAGTCAGGACCAAGGTTCCCAGTGGGGCTGGTGAGTGGTTTTTGTCTGTGTCCATCGGGGGCTGTGTCACCGTGTAGCGTAGCTCTCGGTCGTCTGTGTCCAGGTCAGTGTAGTGCAGCCACTTCTTCCTCAGCGGTGTGAGCTGGGATTCCTGTACCACCATCCGAAGGGGACAGCCGCTGCCCAACTCTGGAGGGAGGCGATCCACGGGATGAATGCGTATCACAAACCTCTGCAGCCCAGACCTGTTAGGGGGGTCATGGTTATCCTGGACTCGAAATGTGAACTGGTCCATTACTGGCCCAGGACTGTGAGGCCCAGTGTGCCTGTAGAAAAGCCTCCCCTCCGTTATGTCTCGCTGCCGCCACTCTGTCACTGTTTTCTCATAGAACACTCCCTGTTTTCTCCAAGGGCCCCTGATCAGCATCTCTTCCTCCTGGGGAGGATGGGTTTGACGGAGAAGCAGATGCCCTGTAGTTGAGGAGGGCGACTCTAGCACAAAAAGCAGCAGACAGTCATCTGAGTCCATGTCAGCTGCGCTTAGAGCTTGGGGCAGGATGGGCACGGTTTCTCCCTCTGCCAGTGTCAGCCCCGTGTTGGCATTGAGGACTGGCGGCTGGTCATCCACAGGCACTAAGGTGACAGGGAACAGGAATTGCACCTGGTGTCTGCGCCCTCCATCCACCATTCGAAGAACAAGGTTGTCACTTAGGGAGCCATCTTTGTCATCGTGGTGGTAGACCACTTGGCCGGCTGCCAGCTCAGCTACCGTAAATGTCTTAGGGGCAGAGTTCCCACTTGAGGCACCCAGAAGGACAAGGTGACCATGCCGGAGGCCAGCCACCACCTCCAACTGTACTGCCTCTAGGTCATCCTCATCACTGATGACCAGGTTCTGTGGTCCGCTGCCTGCAGGGCCGGTGAGGGGCCGAGACTGGCCCTCATAGAGAATGAGCCCAGTGTTCCGGGTGACCACTGGAGCCAGTGTGTTCATGGGCTTCACCACCACCATGAAGGCAAAAGGCTCTGAAGCTGCTCCTTCTGGGTCCACTACCTCCAGCTCCAGTTCAAAGAGACGCTCCTGGTCGGAGTCCTCAGAGGGGGGCTGATAGGCAATCTTCAGGAGGTGCAAATCCCTCTGAGTGAAGGAGGAGAGAGGCAGACTGCGATCATCAGTGCTCACCAGGTAGCCCTGGCCAGGCTGGAAAGGAGAGGTGAGATTGAAGATCAACAAGTCGGGGGTAGACTCAGCATCCTCGGCTGCCAACATGTCTGGCGTCAGGGCGGTCAGTACAAACTGGTCCACCTCCATCATCATCATGGCCACAAAGCTGGGCTTGGGTGCAGTGTTCTCAGTCCCTCCTCGGATTCTCACCAATACTTGGAAGTGCTCGCGTTTCAAAGCAGGGCTGCCCCCAGGAGACCCTCGTGAGCGCAGCTCCACCACCATGGGCACCCAGTCCCTGTCTGGAGAACGACTGGGGGCCGTGTGGCGGTAGCGCACGCCTAGTTCCTGGAAAGCTTTGCAGTCCATCAGGAGCGGCTCCTGGGTGCCCGCCTCGCTGGCACGTCCCGGGACTGACGGGTAGTGAAGGAGTTCCCCGTAGCGAGGCAGCGCGCCCAAGCCCGAAAGGATGCCCACGCGACACTCTTCAGCCTCGGGCTGGTAGGCGAATTCCAAGGTCCGAGCGTCCAGGGCATTGCTGGTGCCCAGCAGCTCCTCCACGACCAGGGGCAAGTTCCGAGTTACAACCTCCAGTTGGGTGAAGACTACCTCCACCTCCAGCACCAAGGGTAGCACTGCCGCCCCTCCCGGCGCGTCGTAGCGGAGCTGCAGCCGGACCCGATCCCGCGACGGGCTGCGCGCGCCCAGGTGCGAGTAGCGCACCTCGCCAGCGCCGAAGTCGCACGGGAAGCGCTTGGGACTCAGACGGCCGGGCCGCTGGGCCAGCGCATCGTTGTCTAGCACGGTCACTACGCAGCGATCCCCCGGCTGCACCTGCAGCACCAGGTCCTGCAACGGATCCAGCCAGACCTCACGGCCGAAGGGCACCCGGAGCCCGCGGTTCGCCGGCACTATGGCCTCTTCGGAGGGGACTCCTGCAACGCCCGCGAGATCCGGGGACAGCAACGCCCGGCCGGGGTCAGGGGGCTGTGCCCGGACGCGGCTTACCAGTGACAGGAGAAGCAAAAACAGCAGCACCAGCCAGGGCGGCGGCGGAGGCAAGAGCTGAGAGGTGGTGGGGTTAGCTGCGTGGCGCGCGCGGGCGGTGATCCCGGGGGTCCGGGCTGCGTGCATGGTCCGGATGTTAGGGCTCGGACGGGTCGCCCTGAGAGCGCAGTCAGTCCCAGTCCGGGGCAGGTGGTACGAGAGCCCTCCGGAAAGTGCCAGGAACTCCGCACGGCGCCCGGGGGTTCCTGCTGTAGCCGAGGCTGGGCCAGAAGGATGGGAAAGAGGCTCGGCACGGTCCCCGGAGCTGCCGGGGAGGCTAAACCGTCCCGGCCGGTCCAGCTCCGCGGCTCGCGGCTCAGTCGAGCGGAGAACTGAGTCCCTGCACTCCTCCCTCCCAGGTCCCGGGACCCTGAGCTTTGAGGGAAATCCCTCCCCTCGCACCCCCTTACTCCTGTCCTCCCAGGAGGCCAATCGTCGGTCCCGGGAGGAGGCCCCGAGACGACGGTTGGGTAGCGACTTCTGCCAATCAGCTCCTAGGGGCGGAGGCCGGGAAACCGCGCGCGGGGGAGGAGACAGAACGCGCGACGCGTTGTCCTGGAAGTGAGGGCGCTAGCTCCGCACTACCCTGCTGGGGTCGCGGCTCTCCAGCCCCAGAGCCGGAACGCGCCGCCGAGCTAGATTCACTTTTCCAGCTGCCTGCGATCCAGCGATACCCCCGTTTTAGCTCCCATCCCCCCAAATCAATGGGATCCCGCGCAGGGAATGCTTACTTCTCACTGTAACTTGCAAACAAACCCGAGAGGAAGGTTAGACGCAACGCGGCTTGAGTGTGAATCAAAACCCAGAGCAGTTTAGGGAGAAACTCTGGGGCCCTTGCGCATAAGAAGGAAAGCTGGAATTAAAAGCCCGTCTAGAGGAGTTTGCGCCTCCCCTCGCCCCCGCCCCTCGCCTTCTCCTCGTAAATTACAATGACTACAGTTCTCGGATTGGTGAGATTTTAACAAGCCCCTCCTTTGCAACCAAATTTCAGAGTAAGAGGAAACAGGGGCACTTGGAATGTGTGAGAAATGCCATCAGAGCGGAATCGAGAGAGTCGCAGCAGAGGATACGTTCCAGGGTATGTAGCCCCCTGGCTCTTCCAAAGCCGCCGCTGTTCAGGTAGTGGTTATTAGAGATGTTCCTGTTCTCTTCGCAGTAATTAGACCAAGTACTAACTAGACCCGCGTGTCAGAATCACATTTCTTGGCCTGCCAGGAGGATTGATAAATATCCTGAGGGCGAACTAAAACAGGTTAGCTACCCTCAGTCAGCAGGTTTCCAAGTCAGACTCGAGCTCTGCCTGCCCCCTTGTGTTTGTCGGGTTTCAGAAGTGCGTAGATTCCCTTTCCGAAAGGTTTTCTGACTGCTTCCCGCCACCCCCAAACCCTCACAATGAATACTCAACCATTTTAGATTAGTTCTCTAAGCAGTCTTGGTTATCCTGAGCAAAATGTTTTATTTTGGGTCATGTTCTTTTCTCTCCGATAATACAAATCAGATAATTAATTGGAATATAAAATTGAAATAATGGCCATCCTGCCCTTTTCCTGCTTAAAGGTATTTTAGATTTGGGGGGAAGAAAGGAGTGTAAGACAGTGTTATTCCCTTTCACATTTCAGTCCAAATTGAAGATATAAGATGCATACGCGGGTACACTGCAGTGAGAAGCATTTATCCCTTTAAACCTTTTGTGTCTTTCTCCTGAGCTCCTCCAGTTTAGGGTTTTGATCCCTGCCTGAAGCACTGAGAGCTATTTTCAAGGCCACAGCATCACCTCTGTGCATAAGTAGTGCTGAGTGATAATCAGAGATGGCTCCAGGAAGCCCGCTGGGCAGTGTCTGACCCTGGGAGTCGAGAGGGAGAGAGAGACTAATTTTAAGTGAGCCACTTATCCAAACAAATAACATTTAGTTAATTGAATATATTTCAGCTTATTCTATACATATTGTACTTTTAGGGAACTTTGAACTCCCGCTTACAATTGATACATACATTTCACAATTTAGTACAAAACGCATATCCAGGAACACAGAAGGGATGTGACCAGTCTTTTAAATGTATGAGAAAATCCCCAACCAACTCTTCATCAATTTCCAGTCTGCTTTGGGCATCATTATTGTCTAATTTAGTATGCTTATTTATTATTACATACAGAATTCAAATTGTAGTGACAAGGAAAACATCTGTTATGTCCTATTCACAAATAAAATAAATGGGAAGATGCCAAGTGAAATAGGACATCAATTTCAGAATATGGTTCTTTATATATTGTATTTCAAATTCTGGTTATGTGTCTTGATTGAAAAACGTCAGCTGGAAGCCAAGTCATCCTTATTCAGGCATTGTGACTCTGGGTATGTTCTGACCAGAATGAGACCATCATCCTGACCCCTGATGCTTCCCAATGGCTCCAGGCATTTCCTTTCTTCCTTTTAAAGTCCAACTCTGTTTGACTTGCAAGCAGCGATAAGATCAGCATCTGAGGTATGGTAGTATGCCCGAAGGGCAGAGTTCAATATTCTGTTTCATGGGGAAAAGAATAGAGGTCCGCATTTATTTGCAAGTAGCCTAAGGAAATCAGTAAATTATAATCTTTTTTGACTTCTTAATCTAGCCTGCCTTGACTGAAGTGATGGAATGATTCTCAGGGGTTATTACTATTTTTTGGTAAATGTCTTAGTTATTTGGGTTTTTTAAATTACATCGAAGGTAACACATACTGTCATTTGCTTAAATATATTTTGCATTGATGATCGTTGATATAAGAGTGAAATATTAAATTCTCATCTGAAAGCAAATATTATTGGTGGTAATGATCTCGCATTAAGATAAATAGCTCAGTGTTAAAATATTTCTATACTTAAATTAGCAAGGATATTTGATGGCCAACATTCACAATATTACAAGAGATAAAATAAGTTGACAAACTTGTAATTTTTAAAAATCTGAGCTTAATTCTTCAGTTCTTACCTTTTTAAGCTTTTAGACAATTGCTGTATATATTCTGGGGAAAATATCCTCTATAATAAATTCTTAAATTTGTTTACCCTATGAAAAACACACCAGAATGTCTCCTCAAATCTACTTAAAGCTAAATTTATTGATCGTTAAAACTCAAATGAGTTCTGACGTAAGGTTAAGCACCAGAGAACTTGTGCCCTAAAATGAAAGAGGTAATGTGATGAATTTAAGATGCAGGCAAGATATTCATGTAGAAACTGGACAACAGGTTTGGTACTCTAAAGTAAGACTGGAGCTAAAGATACACCTGGTTTTGATTTGATTTTGATTGTTACAGTGCCACTTCAGGGTTTATTTCACATCTGTTATGTTCCTCTCCTGGCTCAAAAGACTCCAATAGAGATTGCCTCATAGGCGCCTTAAAAATACTTACAGATGAGTGATTGAAGCTTTATGTCAAAAATCTGTAATCGTTCTCAATAGGATTTTATTCTTTGATAGCTTCAAAACCATGGCTTCCTATAAATCCAAACTTAACTGATTTCAGAGCAGTGCTGAAGGGGTAAACAGCCCTGCGCTGACTGACCAAGAGCTGGGTTCCAGACTTGGCTCTGACACCCACAATGTGACTTGCAGCAGTTCCCTTTGTTTTGCAACCACAGTCTCCTCAACTATAAAACAAGGGACTCAGTCTTTGTGGACAAATTCCCCTTTGGTTACCCTTTGGGTTTTGGTATTTGGTGCCATAAGACCAAATTTATGGATGACCCGCCATTTTCCTTCCTTATGTTCTGTGCTCAGAAGCAATAGTTTTCATTCTTGCCAGAAAGACTGACTCTGTTAATAAAAAATAAGTCACTACTGCTAGGTTAGAAAACTTAGGACTCACAGCTTGTGCGCTTTGCCAATGAATCGATTGTTCCTTTTTCGATTGTATGACAATGTTTGTATTCATTGACATGGGCAGTTTACATACAACATCATTCAGTAGCTATATTTTTTAATCAACAAGAAAATCAAAATTAAAATCTGGCAATACAAAACTAAATTAAAATTCATTATGAGGATAGGTAAAATTTCAAGATGGATCTATCATAAGGTGATACAAATAGTGTCATAAGTACCCAGATTTTCCAGACGAAGCTGTGTTCAGATGGGGGTCTACTATGTGGAAAAAGAAAGAACACTGGACTAGAAGTCAGAAAACCCTGCTTTGAAGTTGGCTTTTCCACTTACTTGCTTGGAGCTGTGGACGAGTCACTCACTGTCTCCGTTTCTAAAAATGTGATTGGAGAGGAGAGAAGGAAGGTGAAAATACTGCCTTGCCTTTCCTCATGAAGCTATTGGAAAGATGAAATAACAAAATGTATATGTATTTATGTATATGCATATATGCAAAGTTGAAATAAAGAAAAATGATCACTGTTTTCAAATACCTTTCTATATCTAAAAATATATAGGTATAGATAGACAGAGATATATTCCAAATTTTTATGAAGATGGCAAACTCTTAGTTTCTCTTTGGTTCTCCTTGTCTCATTTTCTGAATTTATTTCTTAGTATCTTATTAGTGAAAGTGAAACGTTTGATTGTGATTATAACAAATAATATATCCTAATTATATCGATTAATTGTTCTATCAGTTTTCCTCTCTTGCTTGGATTTCCAGTCTTCCTAGTTGTTTCATCTTTGGTTAAAATCTTGCTTAATTTTTCCTATTTTGTAGAAAACAATCTCCCTCAGTAGCAATACCCCCTCAAACTATGCACACATCTCGCCCTTTCTGAGTCTTTTGAATCTTCTGAATCTACTATTTCAACTTCCTTACCAAACAGATTTATAAACCTTCTATCGGGTGACGTTCACCCTGCAAGTTTTCTTGACCATGACTTCCCTCATTCTCTGGAGTCATTAAGCTGGAGAGAATCTATCTCCACAATGTCATTCACAACTGTCCTCTCTTCCCAATCCTGTCTGGCATCATCCTAGTTCAGTTCAACATTATTTTTCTCTTAACTTTCTTCAAATCCCAGTCTCCTTACTGTTGCATCTGCCATTCTATGCATCTCTCCAGAAAAATAGTTCATCTTTGATCACAGCATTTTGCTCTAATCTCTTCTGGCTTC